CGATTCTTCCATTGTATCTATCCTAATCCTAAAAAAAGCAAATCACAACGCCATTTCCCTACTATTAATCGTGCCCTATTTCCCCATTTCCCCATTCCTGAACCTTTACCGTAGATATTTTTTCCTCTTCTTTCGCCTTTTGAAGCCGCCTCCGCACTGCCCGGAATCCGGCGAAGTGTGCGCTCACCTCTCCAATTTGGAACAGAAAACGTATATCTCTGAGTTTGTTCATAAATATTTGCGAAGAATTCCTTGTTGATTGTTTGGAAATTTTTTTATTTTCTGAATATGTTAAATTGATTGCAAATTTTTTCTTTCCTGGATGGTTCATTTAACAGTTGATTTTCGAATGGATGTGATTCCCTTTTGAATACTCTATTTCTGTTAAAATTTAGGTCCTATGGTTTGCAAAAGAAAAAGAATTTTGTTGTTATTAAAGATTAGGGTTCGAGTTTAGTGTACTGGCTGATAATCTGTTTTGTTTGTGTACATTGTACAAGCAATCGATAGGACATTCAGGAATCTGGAAAGACAATGGTTTCATTTCAAACTTTTGTTCTTAATCTTGACCTCTGCTTTTGTTATTACTGAATTGATTATTTCACGTTTTTAATAGTGGATTGGGGTCTTGAAAATGATCTGAACAAGATATTGAGATTGGCACCCATTATCCCAGGAGTAGCTTAGATTTGGGAATGGAAGGTTTTAATAAGAAGGTATATACCCGTTATACTTTCTTTTAACATATAGTGTTTCATGATTCGTGTTTTGCGATTCATTTAAGCCTCCAGCTCATATTCATTACAATCATGTTATAGTACAAGAATAAATGACGTCATGTCACGTGACATTCTATTATTGTATTGTTTAAAACACAATTATCTTTCCATCAAATCACCTCTCCTGTCACCTAGGATGTTAACATTTGAAACATTTCTATTCTATATAATAGGCATACATTTCAAAATCTGTTACAAATGAAAGTAAATTATGTAACAAATTATGTTTCAAATCACTTTATGTTGACGGTTTAGAATTTCAATAGTCATTATTCGACCATAATGAACAAAAACTATAATATTGACTATTTCCGCCGACTACGCCTAACCTCTCCACCACTGTCCTTCGTAGTTTCGCTTGTCGTCCGCCGACTACGCCTAACCTCTCCGCCACTGTCCTTCGTAGTTTCGCTGTTGTGAGTCTGCTCGATTGCTCCTCTATTTTTTTTTTTTTTTTGTTTTTGTTTTTGTTTTTGTTCTTTCAGATCATGGAGTAATCTTTTTTGTCAAAGGAAATCCCAGAAATACTATACATTTTTTTCCGAGTTCAATTGATGAGTCACTGTATGTTTTGTTTGCGATGTTATATTATTAATCTGTCTGCTTTGTCTTTATCTCAGTGGTATGTGTTCTGACTTTAATCTCCTTCATGACATATTTGTTGTGTGCTGTACTCAGTAGTGGTTGTGTTATGATTGCAGGTTATGATGAATTCAATGAAAATTCCATCCGAGAGAAGTACCTTGGAGAAGAAACTTGACAAGCTTATATTAACTCTGTTCAGTGTTCTCTTCTGCATATGTCTGTTGGGTGCCATAGGCAGGTTTGGTTATATATAATTATTTAGCAATTCTGTTCAGTGACTCATGAAATTTAATGTGCTTTTGAGGATAATTTTGAATTTATAGATTTAGTTGATTGTCTTTATAGCAAGTTCATTTTTGCTACTTTTCCATTTCTCCTGGATAATTTATGTGATATAGATTTTTGATCATTTTCGTACAATATTAACCTTACAGGATTTAAGTTTAGTTCAACAGTGAAATATTTAATTTTATAAGTTTCCCATAATGTGTGATGAGAGTGTCCTTTATGATCAAATTGTTGGGTGGGATGATTGTCATATATTCAAATTCTATGAATCCTAGACTATAGCGAGGATGTTTAAGCCTAATGTTGGTACAAATGTTCGTTATGTCTCCTCAGTGTTTACTTTTGTTCATTGTTTTCTTTTTATTACTAGATGCTTAAATTCTCAAACTGAGTTTTATTGCAAATTTATGGGAATCCAATAAATAAATAAGTTACATTGTGATTGATGAGTAATTCTTTGTTGACAGTAAGTTAAGGAAGTGAAGAAAAAGTGCTTCAATTCTTTTTTTTGATAGGTAAGTTGCAAAGAAAAAGTGTTTCAATTCTAAGCTATGGCATGCCTTTGTGGGTCCTCTGGTGTCCCTGCGACCATTCGAAATCATGTGGTTTATTTCCTTCAGGTCATAGTGAGCAAGTCTTGTTTTACTAATCTAATTAAACTTAGTTTTCTTCTTCCGTTGGTTTGATTAAGATGATATTTTATTTATGCTGTACAATTTCTTTGCTTATGTATGTAATGGATTCTACTTGAGAAAGCTTTTGCCTCTATGCTGATGTAAGTCATTCATGACTTATTTGATTACTATCATGTCTCACTAAATGCATCCATAATGTGTGGAGGATGTTTTGCCTATTTTTTGCTTTGTGTACTTGTTGCTTTCTCTATTACAATTAGCTCGCCGCATTAAAATGCCACTATTTTCTGTAACTTTGCCCTCAGGCTCATAAACAATGTTTGCTACTCTCTTCTGCCCTCTAACTCTGCAAATTTTCACCCTACTTAAGAGCAAAACCCTTATTTCAAATAAAATAGGTGAGAACTTAAAAACCTTTTTGCTGATCATGATTATGTTTCCATGGAAATCTAAATGAATTGTAATTATGCTTATATTTAAGTTCTACTGCATGAACTTAGAGGAAACACAAAGACCCACTCCGATGAGCCAAAAGAAAACAACGGTTTTAACACTTGGTCCCTGTTTGAGCCAAATTATTATAGAATAAGAATGAAAAATACAGTCGTTATTGGGGCCCACACAAGAGATAGAAAATAGTTTGTTTTCCTCTATCCTTGCAAACTTCGTGGTTCTCCCTAATAGTTACTGTTTCCACGGAGATTATGTTGAACAACTCAGTGACTCGAATTAGCTGATTTATTCGTTGTTTTAGGTTGCTTTTAGAACAAAAAGTCTTCCACCCCTACATCAATAACAATGGAAGCATATGCCTTGATATTCTTAAAGAACAATGGAGCCCAGCATTGACCATATCTAAGGTACAATCAGGCTACGTGTACATCATTATTTACATCTCGGTTTGCATTCTTCCACAAGGAACCATCATCATTTGATTTTTTCAACAATCTTTCACATCACTACCCAGATTGTACTACATAGGGGGAATGTCATCCATGGTGCAAGGAAAAATGTACATCTAACATAATTGATCTAAAGTAATGAATTATTTTCCCCGTTATTCTAATGAGATGACATCATTTAATGAATGATCACACAGATTCAAATCTGGATTAAATTAACTTTAATGTATGGATATATAATACATTATTGTCTGTGTTCGCGTTCCCATCTATGATGGGTTCCACAGTCTTATGCATTGACTTGATCGTTTACCTATGTAACATTTTACAATGTGTGCTTAGGATTCATGTGGTTCTTGTTTCACCTAGGTTTTAGGTGATTTTAAAATTGGTAATTAGAGTAAACTTATGACATTACTTAGTTATAAGAAAAAATTGTTAGGTTTAAGTCACCAAAAGAAGAGGTATAAAATCTATTTTCCACGAACGTTGACATTACCTTCGAAATAACAAAGCCCATATATAAAATCATCAACAACCAATCCAATATGATGATCATCATATCTATTATCTCAACAATGAAATTCCAGTGTGATCTTCTCATACTTTTCTTCAAACCATTGTCCAAGTTGCACACACTTGTTGGATTTTCATTATCATATAAGATAGATCTTCACATTTCATATGCCAATGTTATCAAAGTTAAAATTCAATGAAAACTCTACCAATTATTTTCAGATTTACAGCTTCAACATTTATTGTAGTTATAGATTTAACCAACATGTCTTATCCCATGCTTTTCACATCCAAGATATAATGGAGTTAGCAAAATCAAGAAAACAAAGTTCTTTGAGATTTGTAAAAAGAAAAATGCTCCTGAAACTGAGACAATACGCCTGTCTAACCCAATGATAGGATTTAGTGTACCAACACTACAGTTTGAGAATATTAATCTGTTTCTTCCTGATTCTTCAATTGACCCTCCTTTTTTTATTATGAAAATATGGCTCTAGCTCAAAAGGAGTCTAGGACAATATTTCAAAATTTTTGAATGACATTGAACCAGAGTTCATTGGTTCTAAATATTTTTGTGCTACGACGAAGAAAAGAAGCTATGTTCATAACTTACCGGTTCAAAACAAATTTCCTCTTATTCCTCTTCCCCGACTCACCATCCAACAAGCATTTCCCTTGTCAAGAAAATAATGACCCCAGTGGGATCCTCGATAAAAACTGAACTTTTATTCTATTCTATGCAGTTCTTGAATGGATTTGATTGTTCTCCTTCTCTTAAACTCTCTGTTTTCTTATCTGATATTATCTTCCCTTCTTCCCGCGTCGCAGGAGCTGGGAGCCGAATCTATTCCACACTATTTTTGATTTCCTTAGCTGGGTTTTTGGCAGTAGTAATGCTATTAATCCCAGGCTTTATCGTGCCCTTCGAAGAATTCTATGGAGACGGGAAAAAAGGTAAGAGTTTTCTCCTCATTAAGTAACTCCCCCCCACTCGCTAATGCCCCAGGATTCTATCTGTATTTTTTTTGTCAACCATGTTTCAATGAAGAGATCCCCTCAAGGGCTACTGATTGGCCAGGTGTTTTATGATCAAGTTGAAGGACAAAAATGCAAATGTTCCAGAATTTTGCAGTTTCTTTTGATGATGTCAAGGAGGAATGTGTTCGACTTTTATACTGCAGTAGCTTATAGAATTCAAATTAGTCACTAATTGTTAAGGTCGAGCAATATTTGTTTCCCCTTTTTAGTGTCCCCAAACAAATTTAAGGTTCTTGACTTTGCCATGTGTTCATTGTTACCACTCGGAACATAAAATTATCATTATTTAATTGAATTATTTACTAGACCTTTTCAGTTGAATCGAATATCATCCTTTTAAATCTTGAAAATCGTCCTCTAGAACGCTTGACAATCCCTTGTACAAACCAATTGAAAACCTTATTTCTGCTGACTTGCATCACTCATTTCTGTGCAAATATATGGTGTAAAAATCATGAGAACTGGTATGATACATAAGTAACTTAGTTTAATAAGAAATTTTCACCCATAACACTCACAATTATATTACTTCACATACAATTATACAAACAATACCTTATACTAAAAGAAATCATTACCAATACATACACTTGATGTCGAGTCGTGCAACGCACGTCCAAAATTGAAAAACTAAAGAAATGCATTTCTCCATTTCGCATATAATTCACCTCTTTAGATATCATTCCGGTGTCCTATGTTTTTGGTTCTCAAAACTGCTATCTTGCAGATTGTACTGAGGCTGGACTTGTTGCACATGTGAATTAGGCACTTTCGACTCGATATCAAGAAAGCATACAAACTGTGTAGCTGCAGGTTGGTGATTTATGCTATTTTTTAGTTATTTACGCATTAACATTCTTCCTTTCTTTATTATCATGCCTTTTCAGGATAATGCTATCAAATGAGTTGGAACATTTACTTGTAGAAATTTTAATTTTTTTCAAGAGATACGAAATTCAATATCAAATGAGTTGGAACTTTAGTGCTCCTCCTCTAATCTGCTCTTCTGCTCTTAAGTGCAGTAACGGTGGTATCACGTCTTGATTTAATTTTGAAGAAGCCGAGCAATGATCTCTACCCTATTGCCAGTCGGTGGTAACAAAATGTTTCCTTGAAGCTCCAGCCATGTAATTTATTCCATTGTAATTTTGACTTTTTGTTGTTATTTATTAATTCTAGCTTATTAGGAGAAAGTTATAAACTGATAATTCGACCTCTCGAGTGAAGCAATTATTGCTAAAGCCAATCTAGGTCCATTTTACAATTTGGTAGTTTGAGAGTTGATTCAATTTAGAAACTTAAGTCATTAATCATGACTATGTGCCTATTGAAAGAGCTTATGAGTTTAGTTCCTATCAGCTTTTAAATTAATTTGATTTACTCGTATGGTTGCAGTATATTTTCTGTATATATACATGTGCTTAGTATATTACAATATCATTAGCTTACCGAAGTTCTAAAAAGAATCACGAGTCATTCATTTTGTACATGTAAATATGTAAAAAAACTCCAATATTGGATGAATGGTGAATTTGTCTAAATCTTCTTTTTGGAGGCACATTAACATTATCTTAAAAATGACAAAGCCCGTGCAACTAGAAGACTAGTACACGGGCACAAGACTAGTATATATATAAAAATGGCCCAAAGTTTGCCACCCTGCCCCTGTCAAACAGTAATAAGTTGAAAAACCTTGTGCATGCATATAATCTCTTTTGAGGAATGTAGCAATAACACATTAAATCTTTCCTTTTCTTGTATTTAGTTGTCATTTTTCAAGTGTTATTTATAAGTGATCGAAGCCAAAGAGAAATTATTTGAACTTTAAAACTGATTATTTTATACTTATTAATAGTTATGTTACTTCCTAGTTCCATTATAATAATTATTAATGAATTTATTTAATGAATATGTTTTTTGATTATTATATTTAATTACGATATTAATTATTGTAATTATAATTTCACGAATACGCTACATTTAAAACACTAGTGAGAAAAGGGTGAAAGCAAATAGATAATAAGCTCTTGACCGGTGTGTAGTAAATCCTATTCATATGTCTTATGGACTTGACGAAATAAGAGCATATTTGATTCTATTGGTCAAACTTAACTCATTCGAGTCTGTAATTTTTGAGTGAAATACAAGAAAGAAGATGTTATTGGATAGAGTAAAAAATTAGTTTAAAATAGAAATGTAATAATTATTATTTATAAGAAATAGTGTTACAGATATGTATTAGCTTCTAAAAATTCGTAGTTGTACAGATTACATCACTTTATAATGATATAAAATAATAATTTCTACATTATAAACAAATTTTAACTTATGATTCAGTTAATTTTAGCTTATAATTACTTTAAAAATCGATTGATTAATTTAACTTATAATTCAGTTATATTAGCTTATAATTTAATTTAAAATCGAGTGATTAAATAAAATTATGATTACGTATTCTAAGTACATACTCGATTAGTTATTAAGACCTCATGGAATTTACAATTTACTTAAATCTCAAAATAACTATTAATTAAACTAAGTGATACATGTTTGGAGCTTTTATAACTTTTGCTCCTAACCTAAAAAGCACTAAAGCGGACTATCTTTACAAGATAAATGCAAAACAATTTCTTAAGGCACCATATAATAATGAATAGCCTTCCACATTCTATGTTTTTTTATCAATATTGCATGTGTAATTAAAAGATTAAGTACAAGTTTTCACAAATTAATGTCACATATATTAATTGCTTTTATGATCACACAACTTGTTCAATCGAAGAGTGACATGTTCTTTGTAGTCATCAAATTCCAGCGCCCTCGTGGTATCAATAACGTTTTGTCCAGTGATACTAATGTACCCTTTTGACCTATTTCATCGATGACATACTATTTGAACTTGGTCGTACACTATCGGAGGCTCTTCTTTTTCCCCTATCTTCACGTTAACGTTGGCAAGTGGCACCAGTTTACAGCTAATCTTGGTCGAGGAGTGACCTTGGTCGTCATACGTTGTAATATTATTGTAAATAGGACCCGCCTCTGAAATGATATTGGAAAAAAGACGCCATCAATGAGATACGAAGGTATTAAAATAGTAATTATTGTTATTGTGGAAAACGTCCACATCTTTCATTTTTTGACATTTTCACCCCAATTTCCACATTTCATTTGCAAAAGGTTATTTTCACATATTTTCTCAATTAAAAATTATGAAATGACGAATATACTCCTCTCTTTAAATAAAACAAAAGGAAAAAGAAAAAACTAATTACAATCACAGTCCCAATTTTTTTTAAAAAGCGCAACAAATAAATTATTAAAAGGGTAATTAGTATATAATGTTCATATCTTTCACAGTTATTGCGAAAAAAGTCCATATCTTTAATTTTTTGACATTTTCACCCTTAATTACACATTTGATTGTACAAATCATTCTTTCCATCCATTCCTATCAAATTTTTCAATAAAGAACTGTGAAATAATGACTATACCCTCTTATTTAAATAAAAAAATTATTTTTAATTTATAATTTTTTAATAATTTATTTGGGACTCGTTTGCATTTTTTAATTTTTAAATAAATTTAATTGGGACTCGTTTGCACTTTTTATAAAAAAATTTTAATAATTTATTGGGGACTTGTTTGTACTTTTAAAAAAATTGGGACTATGATTGCAATTAATTCTTTAACTTTTATTGAAATATGAGGGTATATTAGTCATTTTACAGATTTTATTGAGAAATTGGATGAAAATTAATATAAATGATGATTTACGCAATCAAATGTTTGATTAATTGTAAAAATGCCAAAAAAAAGGTATGGACGTTTTTCGCAATAACGCTGAAAGATAGAGACATTATATACTAATTACCCTTTTAATAATTCATTTAACACTTATTTGTGTTTTTTAAAAAAAAAATTGGGATTGTGGTTACAATTAATTTTTTCTTTTTCTTTTTGTTTATTAAAGAGATGAGTATATTCGTCATTTCATAAATTTTAATTGAGAAAATATGTGAAAATGACCTTTTGTGCAATAAAAGATGGAAATAAGGGTGAAAATGTCAAAAAATGAAAGGAATAAACGCTTTTCACAATAATAATGAAAGATGAAGATGTTATGTATTAATTACCCAATATATAAACATAAGGTAAATGCAAAACCTCACACGTGCAAATATTGAAAAAAGAGTACACATTAATAGAGACATTAAAGTGTACTAGGTGCAAGCAACGTGCAATGCACGTTCGCGTAGTTTATATTTAATAGTTTTGTTTTAAGAATTAATTTGTTATTAATAAAGATATAATTTTTTTGGTTAATTAAATAATTAATGATGTAATGTTTATATAATTGATAAATAATTAGATGTGCGATTTTAATGTTATGATGTAAGTTGGTGAGATCGAAAAAAATAAGCAAAAGTTGACAAATTTGGAGAAATAGCTAAATTGTAAGGGATCCAAAGTTCGGGGACTAAAATGTAAATACTTAAAAGTTGTGCCGAACCTCACGATGAAGATTTGAGAGTGCTCGGAGTCAATTGGATAAAGGAAGACGTCAATGGAATCAAATTTAGTCAAAAGATGATCACAAATCAATTTCCAACCGAAAAGTTATGCTCCGATATTTTAGTCTCATATTGAGACCTATTTTTGGCATAGAAAGTGATCGAATTGGAGAATGATGTCTGAATCAAAGTTGTAGCCAGATGAGTTATCTTTCCAACACATTTTGAATTGCCTCAATCGGATATCGGAATACAAAATTATGATAAAAATACTGAAAGAAGGTGCAGCTGCGTGTTTAAAACAAGAAATTCCGTTATATAATCCGTTAAAACAACAAATTCCGTTAGTTTTTCCGTTAAAAACAAAAAATTCCGTTACATAGCCACTTTTAATATATAGAAGATGTGATGCTGTACAAGTTGTAAAAGAACGTGAGCTTGAATCGACTTTTATATTTTATTTAACAGCACTTATTTTATATTTGTTAGAATTTTTTTAATTAACTAGGGCTTAATTTGTTATCTTGTATAAATTTAGGGACCAAGGTCATAATTATGATTACGTTATGCAATTAGCTTTTGGTTTTCCGATTGTGCTATATATATATATATATATATCAACACTTAGGATTGGTGTTTATACACACGATGTAGTGATATGATTGAGTCGGAATTTTTCCAACCAAATAATAATAATAAAAATAAAGCATCTTCACTATCTTCTTGATACCTCATTTATCAGTCATACTTTATGTTCTTTATGTATGAATAATATTATTCTTTCTTCAATTCTTTGATTCAAATCTATATTTGACGAAATCGACAATAAATAATAATGTGTTGTTATTCTTGCTTACTTCTGTCCTCGTCAAAATAATATATTAGATATTTTATCTTATTTATGTAATATTATTGTACACACCTTCTTCCACCATTTTTAAACTCTTTCCGTCTCTCTCACGTGCACAAAGAAGGGACATTCTTTATGTTGTTTAGTTGTCCATTTTGGAGTGTTATTTATAAGTGTTTGAAGTCAAAGTAAAATTGTTTGATCTTTATTACTAATTATGTTACTTATTTGTTCCATTATATTAATTATTAATGAGTTCATTTAATGAATAGATATTAATTATTATATTCAATTATCATAATAATTATTGTAACTATAGTTGCGCGCGCGCACACACACACACAATATAATGTATGCTTCGCTCATGTTTATAAACTGTTTTAAACAATCAAATCACTTTT